CCTAAATGAGTAAAACCCCTAACGTTATAAGAGCCCCTACAGGGACTATAGTGGGACTGGATCTAGGAATGTATCAGGGAAGAGAACTGAGCAGCTAGAGTGTAGGTGTATTTCCTGTTTACCTATATAATCTGGCTTTCCATGTGGGCTTTTCTTTCTTTCTTTATTTCTTTTTTTGGGTACTGGGAATCGAATTCAGGACCTTGTGCTTGCCAGGCAGGCACTTACGCCACTGAGCTATCTCCCCGGCCCTCCATGTGGGCTGTTCATGGAATAAAAGATTCCACATCTTAAGAGGAGGTTGAAAATTTTGACTTTAGAGACACTTTCTTTCTTTTTTTTTCCTGGTACTGGGAATTGAACTCAGGACCTTGAGCTTGCCAGGCAGGCGCTGTGCCACAGAGCTATATCCCCAGACCCAAAGAGACATTTTCTACGGGCAAAAACCATGAAAGCAAACAAAGACGTGCATCCCGTAGCAGTTCACCTCTCCAATCATGCCTCCGAGAATGCCGTTAGCTTTGTATCCCATCCCAGCCCTTTACCTTTATTGTCAGCAGCAATAAACCCAAGGATGTTTTCATGGCGTAGCATAACTGTCTGGTATATCTCTGCTTCCCGGAACCAAGATCGTTCTTCACGAGAAGAGAAAATCTTCACAGCTACATCACCACCTCTCCAGCGGCCACGCCACACTTCCCCAAACCGGCCTTTGCCAATAATCTCTTGTAATACGATGGTTCGGGCCACCGTGCGCTGGACAAAAAGGGGTAACCCTATGGACCAAAGAACAGCAAGAAGACTGACAATGCAAATCTGCAACACTTTGGAACTCCTATGCTCACTGCTACACTAGAAAGGCTCCCAACAAAGTGTCTCCATTATACACTAGTCCATTAACCATGGAGAGCGGCAGCTGCTCCTGCACACACGTAGGTAACCTACCAGCAGGCTGAGCCAGGCGGCAACTGGAAGTAGTGAATACAGAAAGGGAAACGCGGATGATGTCTTAGCAAGCAATCTCTCCTCTAGTTAGTGAGGATGACAGAGCTTGACCAGATTTACCAACTCTGCAGCTGGCCACCTGTGGGCCAACCCACCCACATCTGTGTTATTTTGATAAAAACAGGAAGAGAGTACGAAAGATGAAAGTTGGGGCTTCTGTGCTGGAACTGCCTTCTAGCTACTCTGCTTATTAGCCACGAGGGGGCAGTGCTGTGTGGCCCACAAACATGATGATCAGGGCTACAGGGTATCAGGCTCAGCAGAGATCCAAGCTCTCTACGCACAGGTGGAACTCCAGATGTACCGTGGGGACTACTCATACTAACTCTGTTTACTGTCTTTATACAACTCATGGTGTTTCACTTGAGTCGTTCAAGATCTCCCTATCTAGACAATCACGCTTTCCATTGTGACTGACTCTTAAAGCTCTCACCCCCTCTCCGATCAAACAGCTGTTGTCTCTCCTTAGGTTTGGTGGATATGAACTATGCTCTGGACGATGCTCTACGCTAAAGGCTTTACATAAATTATTTCATTTCCTAACAACCACCAGTAAGGTAGGTTTTACTAATGTCCCCATTTTGCAGATGAGAAAACTTGTAAGCCTCAAAAAGGAACATTATATAATATACAAATAGTAAGGAGCAAAGCAGGGATTAAAATCTAGAACAAATCTGACTCCACAGTCTGTGCTTTTAACTACAGCAGTACAGAACCACCAATATGTTTCCCAGTGTCGACTCCTCCTTCCTCTCCAGTCCCTGTGCCCCTTCTACTCTGGCCTGTCTTTTAAAAAGACTTCTACCTGGCCTGGTCCTTCTGTCTCCATTTCACCACGCTCTTGCCCTACACACCCACACACAGTCCTGCCTCATCCCACCTTCCTAACAGGAGGTGGGTACACGAATGAATTTATCCTCCACACCACTGCCAGAATTCCTTCCAAAGGAAAAAACCAAAGAATATTCATCTCCCCCCGTGAAAATTCTCAGAAGATTCCTCTTCACCTATAAGATAAAGTATGACCCCCCACCCCCACAAGGCCCTTACACCTAAGTCAGTCTGTCTGTTCTGAAACCCTAGCGTGGGCCAACCACACTAGTCTCCTTAGCATATAAGTCATTAGACACAATGTAAACTTTCACGCCTTTTTGTCTTTTCATTCAAGGTGTTTTCCTCGGCCTAATGATCCTGGCTCTCACTGCTCCTAAAAATTTCAACTCATTCTTTAAGACTCCTTCAAGTGTATCTCCTCTGTAATATCTCCCAACAATCTACCTCTTCTATCCCATCCTGGGTCAGTCTCTTTAATGTTTGTTTTCAGAAGATATCCAGCATATATTTATTACAATGAATTGGAAGTCACCATAAGTAGCATGGACTTACTACTTTAAAAATCACACTATTAAAAATCCAACACCTTGGAAACCGCGTACTCTGAACTGAGAATGGACTAAACCACCCTGAGAGAAACAGTCATTAACCATTTTACTCCAGACGACTAAATAACTACTGTTCCTCCCTGACCTCAGCTAGTCCTGGACCTGAAAAGACCCTGCAACACTTACGCTATCTCCTCCAGCAGCAAATCAAGTCAGCCTGTGGTTGTAACCACTACCCTACCTCTTTTAGGATAGAACAAGCTACATATTTTCTGTTTCTAAAAATATGCAGCTTTAAAATATCCCATCATTTTGGTGCTCTCAACGGCTGAGCTTAATAAAGGCAAAATCACTGAAATTCAGGAGATGTCACAGCTCGAAGCATTCCTTGTGTTTAAGGAGGAACGTCTGGCCATGACTGATGGCATAATTTCCCTACATAACAACAGTCTGCTCCACAGCGAGGAAACATACATAAAAACACACGAGCGTCTCACAAAAGAAGATCCTGTGTGTTCTAGCTAGAATGCAACATAGAATGCATTCATTTGTGGATGAATTTTTCTTTTGTAAGAATGGAGTATCATGAGACTGAAATAGTTGTTTCTCTTCATTAAAAATCTCTTTCGTAGTTATGTTCACGTTCGATAGCTAGCTGAGTTTGTCTCAGACCTGAACAACCTCAACACTGTCCAAAATCTGGTCTCGTGCCAGGGCCCAGTGCAGGTTCAGTGCCTTCATCTAAGAAAGATCCAAGTCACATCGGCACCACAGGAAATGGAGCCTATCGTATGCTGGAAATTCAGGCTACCTTTATGGTAATCCCCACCAAAAAACCCTTGGGCAATGGTACAAGTCAATGATTCACCAAATCCCAACTCTAAGCTTTACTTTAGGTCCTTAAAACTCTCTGTGGTTGCTTAGAGATCAATGATTAGCTGTCACCACCTCACAGGAATCCGGCACACTCCTGCTTCTCAAAAGGGGCCCTTAAATTGAGCACTCCACTGGTCAGGTGGAACCAGGTGAATTTTAATAGATGTAGGGTTGTAAGACTTGAAGAGAAGTAGAGTTTCTGCAGTGGAGAGTTTTACACTTGATGTTTGGAGTTCCTGGGAATCAGACTGTCTGTGAACTCATTATCATATCTTACTACACGTCAGACTCCAAACGAGAGAAATTATGAAATCCAATGACTCAATGTTAGTTGAAACAAATGCCGTCCCCCAAACCCCACCCTCTCCTACTGGGAAACAGTCATGAGTGCCAACAGACACAAGGCCTGGAGGACTCCGTACCTGAGCCAGACCCTGATGTGGAGAGATCGTAGACAAGATCCTGCAGTGTCTTGTCTTTGGAGAGACACATCTCGCATGAGGGATCTTCCATGTCCAGTCTCTGGCGGTTGTGATAGACACGCTGATGGTAGTTAATAACAAGGAAAACAATGATGATGATGAGAAACAGGAGGAAGACTGGGCCGGCAATGATGCCGACCAGCTCCACAGGGCCCCACATGGAAGGGTGCTCAGGCTCCTTGGGGTGACCTGGGTCAAATAAGAGAGGAAAGGGGAGGAACACAGAGTAAAAACAAGGGAATACCGTGACCTTATTTACCCCAGCACCGTCCCCAAGTGAAAAGACCCCTTCCTCCTCAGTGTTTTGGGTTCCTTTGATATCTCTGGCCTTCCTGGGCTAGACTATCTGCCTGGATACTATCAAATGCCAGCTTCTGTGGTTTGGTGTCCCTCTGACAGTTGAGCCAAGCCCACTTTGGAACTCAATGTCAGAATCCCACCCCACCCTTTAGACAGATGCCAGCTTCTATTCTCCTCTAGGTGCGTCCTCCTTGACAATCCCCAGTAATATTTTCCAAATGATGGACCTATAAAGAGGTGGGGTCTGGCACTTCTCAGTAATCACATCCTTTCCTTTTTCTTTTCTTTGTGGTGCTAGAGATGGAAGCCAGGGCCACATACATATACCAGACAAATGCTCTACCACTGAGGCACACGCCAGCCAAACCACCCTTTTCTAATTCTAGCCCCTCTTCACACCTGACTCCCCCTACTCCCAAGGAAGTCTCCTTCAAGTTGCTCTTGCACCACAGCCTTTGGGATCAGTCCCGCACACTCCCTGAGGATCCATGCCTGGCTCTGTTGCTGACGGGCACTCAGCCACTACCCACCCGCACCACAGCTAGTACTTCTGGGACCAACCTGAAAATCCGCCTCCCTTATCTTCTATCCCAAAAATCTGACTTGGGAGGAATTCCTCCCCTGTCTCCTCTAGGAGCAATCAAAAGGCACCTTTACCTATCATCCAGTCAAAGGACTAAGGAAGAGCAGAGGAGGTTGAAAGGACGGGGAGCCCTACCTCCAGGACGAGCCAACAGTCCAACAAGGGTGTCCACTCACCACTGGGCACCCTCAGGTCAATCTTGTTGCAGAAGTCAGTATAGCAGCAGTGGGTGTTGCGCAGATCCTCTGAGCTCAGGCAGTAGAAAGGCTTCCCGGCAGGGACCAGCTCCACTTTGGGGATGCAGGTGCGCACATGGTGCTCCATCCCATCCAGGTTGAAGATGGAAACCATGCAGGCCCCATCTGTTTCACATGTGTAGTTGGCCTGTGAGCAGCTGGTGCACGCACACAGCAGAGCTGCAGGACATTTGGGAGGAGCCATCAACAAAAATGGTGAAATCTTTTCCAGGTCCTTTTTTAGACTAGAACACAATCCCTTAGCATATCCATGTTCCAAAATAAGGAGCTTTCATAGATATGGGGCCAGAAAGATACTGTGAACTGAGGAATAACCTTCTTCATCGCTTCAGCTCACCAGCAAGGCTTTGGAGGCCACACTGTTCTCAGTGCTCAATTCCAAGCCTGTGAGAGACACAGGAAGCACCTTTCCTTCCAGCTGAGGAGCCCGCTGAGAGGACAGTATCCTCACTTCGGAGAATCTACACAATCTAAGCAAAACCACCTAGGGTTTCTTGGAGCCAGAGTCCACCCGTCTCCTTTCTCAGGCACCATGCACACCCACAACTTCCTGAATGTAGTATGCAGGCTCTCACACATTCTCTTGCTGCAGTGCTTTCTTCCTGCCTAATTTTTGCAAATCCTTCAAACATTACTTCCTTTGAAAAGCTTCCCCTGACCATTTCATTATTATCTCCTCCTTTTTGTCCATGTCACACACCCCTCTCACGATGGCCAAAAAAGTATGTCTTACAGCTGGGTGTAGTGATGCATGCCTGTAATTCCCACACTCATAGGCTGAAGCAGGAGGACCAAAGTGAGTTCAAGACCAGCCTGAACTACATACTGAACCCTGTCACAAACAAACAAACAAGGAAACATCTTCCAAAGAGAATTTTAGTGCTTATCTCATAAAGTTTTATAAGGACCAAATGAGGTAATGCATAAAAAGTACTCAATAAATCTAACCCATCCTAAAAGGGCCCTCAATAGCACTTAAATACACACACTCATCTACACACATACACGCACTTTTCTTTCCCCCCAAACAGGCAGTGTATACATAATCACCTTTGGGACTAATGAGTTTTACTGGGTATGTATCATTCATTAAGTGTGTGCCACCAACAGGAAATTACTGTAAATGAATTTGGCGTCTCTGAAAGCCTGTTCAGCAGCTCTAGAATCTGCAATCCTTTATTTATCTGGTTAGTAAGAATAGTACAGACAGCAGCAGTTGGTTCTCCCCAACACTGTCTCCCATGAGCCTAACCTAGTCCCGAACTCTTGCGATGGGCAGGAATGTGGCTTTGGCCTCTAGGACATTGAGGTGGGGACCTGTAGAGCTAAATGAGGCACTCCTCTGTCAGGGGGAATAGGGGGAGGTCTGCCAAGTCCCAGGTGGCACTCTCAGCACTATACGGATACCCAGTATGAGGACACACACGTTGAGGCTCCAGGGTAGAAAGGCTTGTGACCAGTTCCACAAAAAGCCAAGCCGTCCTAAGTCCCAATTTAGACCATAAAGAGTCTATCTTCGTCTCTCCCTCCAATAGTCTGGAAGCCATCTCTTGGCTTTTCAAATCCAAAGACAGATTTTAAATATCTCAATGTCCAACCCCTCATGTCCCAGGCTTTCTGCAAGTGAGTCAATCCCTTGCTATTTCCACTCAATGAAACAAAGAAGGCAACCCTGACAAGCAGAAAGTGTAGATCTTTACTGCTTGGCCTGCTGTATTTTGTCTACAATGTTTAAACAGATCCCTATCTTCTGGGAGAAATTCCCAAACATGTCCCTACCTGCTAACGAGTTAGGATGGTGTTCTTAAAGGTGTAAGTTTAAAGCAGGTATTCACGAGAGTAGGAGCCAAATCATGAAAGGAATTTTAACAGCAAATTTCTCCTTATAGTTGCAAGAAAGATAAGAAATCTCATTTTTCCTTTCCAATACCTTTACCTGCTCCTCTTTTTTTTCCTCCTTTCTAACTTAAACTTATGCAACTCTCAGAAAACCTGGGTTAACCCTTTTACTCCTGCTGGAATCCTGTTAATCTGAGCAGCGCACTCCCATCCCTTTGTGTTCCTCGGGCATGAAGGGGTTCCCTGTGGGGAACACACCTCAGTACATGTGTGGTGACGTCCAGCAAAGACAACAGCATTGGGTCTATTCTGGGAAGCAAGAAAGGGGAAATTAACAACTTCAACAGGAGACTATTTCTGAGCATAGCGTGACACACAAGGCCAAGCCCACAGCCTTTTTTAAAAAAAAGCTTGTTTGAGAGTCCATCAATTACTGGGGCAGAGTAGTCAAGAGGTTTTCATCCCAGAGATCTATTCTTCTTTCAGCGGTTCACGGCCTCTTTCACAGTGATTCACTCTGGAGAATGAGCACACCCACACGTGGCTCATTATTTTTGGGAAGTACTCAAACAATCTTGGTGTAAGACAGGAAAGAGCAAAAATGGTGAAATCTATGCTAGGGAAGATGAAGACGAAACCGAGAGCTGGGCCATGTAGGTTTGTGATAAGAAACTGGCAAAGTCTCTAAGCTTATCTGGAACTCAACTGTCCAAGCAGAAAACACCATTTATTTATTTATTTATTACTGAGGGTTTGTTTTGTTTTGTTTTGTTTTGTTTTTTTTCCGGTACTGGAAATCGAACTCGTGACCTCACGCTTGCCAGGCAGGCGCTGTGCCGCTGAGCTAAATCCCCAGCCCCCAACCATTTATTATAGAGACGGTAGAGAGATTAACTGAACACTACAGATACCCTGAGAAAGGGACACATCTTGTATATCTGTATGTTTTATAGAGCAAGTGAGAAGTCTGAATATACAATACATTCTAAGATAACCACTACTACTGCCCACATCCCTGAAAAGGTCTAAATTTACATCACTAGGAATCACTGTGGGTATCTTGGCAGGAATAGGTCAGAAAGACCTAAAATTCAAAAGCCAGCTCTAGTGTTAATCACATGACCTTGAGCAAGTTGTTAACCTTATTGCACCACTTTCCTCTGTGTTGCAATCTATAAAGTGGGGCTGCAAATAACTAGTTCACAAGACTACGTAAGATCTACGTAAAAGAATATACTTTAAAAAATATTTAACAAATAGTAGGTGCTCAATATGTATGAATCCCTCTTAACACAAAAGCTAACACATACGCACACAGATGTAAAATGTCTCCCATCCAATCTATCTATCTATCTATCTATCTATCTATCTATCTAAATCTCACTATGTAGCTCAGGCTGGCCTCGAACTCAACAGCCATCTTCTTGCCTCGGCTTTCTGAGTGCTGGGATTACAGGCCTGCGCCACCATGCCTGGTCTTTAGCCACTACTTAGGAAGTGGAAAGTTACAGCATGGCCTCAGAAAGGAAATTCTATTAGGAGTCTCAGCTCTGCCAGTAACAAGTTGCATGGCTTTGGGCAAGTCATTTACCATCTCCGAACCTTTTTTTCTTCATGATTAACCAGAAAGAAGTGACTGAACTAGATGACCTCTAAAATCCTTCCCATCTGTAAGTTGAATCTAGTTTTGTTTTTCAATTAACACTGGTTGGATCACTGACTGAATACTGGATAATTATGCTTTTGTATCTTTTTTCAAATTTCCTTTAAGGCAGACATTTTGGCTTGCTTTCTGTTAATACTTATTTTTCCTTGAAACAAATGACAATAAAACTGTAAACGTAACTGAACTTACTATAAACTCAATACATTAAGTTTCAAGCCTAAATCTCATTCCCTTTGAAAAGCCTAACACAGACTTTAAAAAGCTTTTTATAGTGCATGTAGTGAGTCACTCACTAGGTTAACAGGTCTATACTACGTGTACACCAACAACACACACCTAAAATGCTCCTGTTCTACAACCAAAGCACTAAGTACTAGAAATGACACAATTCAGAAAATCAAATCACAGAGGAGCTACCAAATCACTCTATAAGGGCTGGGGATTTAGCTCAGTGGCACAGTGCCTGCCTGGCAAGCACGAGGTCATGAGTTCGATTCCTGGTACCAGAAAACAAACAAACAAAAAAATCACTCTATAAATAAACAAGTTAGAAAGTAATCACAACCAGAGTTCTACTGGCACAGGCTTTTGTTATCGCTAAGCTTGTTAGTCAAATCTGAACTACAAAACCATCTTAGAACTTCAACAAGGTTCCAAAGTATGATTAAGAGGTGGTTTGCGGTAGGGTGCAAGTGCAAATTTGACTCATGAGAGTAGCTGTGCTTTAGGAAAGGCTGACAAGTCCCAACCTGAGCTGAATTTGCCTCGCTGTGCCTAGTTGTGCCTTGTTAGTTTGTATCTATTTTGGGGATGGTGGGGAGGGGTGGGGCAGTACTGAGGACTGCAGCCATTGGCTCTATCTATATCAAAAGCCCTTTTATTTTTTTAAATTTTATTTGGAGACAGTTTCCCTAAGTTGCCCAGGCTGACCTTGAACTTGCAATCCTCCTGCCTCAGCCTACCAAGTACCTGGGGTTATAGACATGTACCACCATGCCTGGCTAACTATATGTTATGAAGATACCTCACCCAGCTGGGGCTCATAAGATCGAGGGCATTCAGCAAAGTGTGGCTGAGCTGAGAAATCCACAAACAGCCACACAGGGTTAGATTCACAACCACTCATCCAGGGTGCTGCTGAGCACATTATCCGGAAACAGCATGAAAGCAGTGTGATACCACCAGCCTCAAAAGGTATGCAGCACACCACAAGACATCTAGGTCTGTCAAGCAGAGTCCAGGAACACTTCTAAAACTGTTTTAAAGCTATAGCAATTATGATTTTTTGTTTTGTTTTGTTTTTTGAGATAGTCTTGCTATGTAGTTCAGGCTGGCTTTGAACTTGAGGCAATCCTCTTGCCGTAGCCTCCCAAGTACTGGGATTACAGGCAGGTGCCACCACGCCTAGCTTTAACTTATTAACTCCTTCTCACGGATAATGCCTTTCCTAAGTTCAGTGCTCCTTGTGGAGTGTAGCAGGTGTGGGTATATAAAACCTGTGTCTACTAGCTGCACTGGGCAGCCTTTCAGTTCTAGAGTACTCAAGATGTGCTGAGTGCAGCCTGTGCTGCCCCTACTCTTCATGGGTTCTAACTCAGGCACCCACTGCCTCTCGCTCTTGCCCCTCAATGAGAGCATCCACTGGACAGGACAG